TCAAAAGTTGGCAGGTATGCAGCAACGCGTTCTCATTACTGAATGATTCAGCATTTTGAACGAATCGGTTGACTCAAAGATTCAATGACCAATCCATAATCTGTCTCATTCATGAATGACTCAGCCGTTCGAACGAATCGTTCGAACAAATGAATCAATGACTCGCTCATTAAGACGGTCGCCTGGCGACACCTAATGATGGTTTAGTGATATGTTTAAAAGTATCATTCTTTCAAACGATTGTTAATTAACTCATATTTGAAACATAAGCTATATATATATATATACACACACATATATATATACACAAAAATAAAATAAAAACACATTTGAAGCGTGTTTGCTTACTAAATTGTGAGCGGAACGAAAGTTGCAGCAAATATCAGCAATAAATTTCATTAATCACGAGAGTGAAGTGCTGACTGAAAAGATGATGACGGAATAGGCTATTTTATGTAAAAGCGCCTATTTAAGCGAATCTGTCATTGTACTCTTTTGTTGTTGTGTTTTCCGTGAAAAATAATAGACTATTGAACTCACAATTCAAGCAATTGGCCCCCGATATTGCACTAATTTTAAAGTGACACTAAAAAGTATGCGGCTGCAGTGGCATTCATTACAGTGCGCATCCATGGCGACGAGCGAGCAAAACAGAGCGAACGTTTTTTCATTTCTACTTCCATAGAAATTCATTCGAGCGCACTGCGAGCGCCACCACTATAAATGTCCTTACTTTACTTTCACTTTTAACTTAGCGATATAAAAGCCCCCGGTGTTACACGTCAAATAACCGGTGAGAAAAAATTCTCGGAGTCACATAGCAGCTACCTATATTTAAATACAACAGGCCTACCTGATTTTGAACACAAGAGGGCAGTATAGCCCTATGTATTATTTGATATATTTATTTTTTAACTGAATAGTGCATCCTGGCTGTTTTTAAACTTGTACATTATTCTTAAATTGAAAAAAAGAATAAAATGGGTTTAGTTCTGATATTTGTATAATTTTATCTAGAAATAAATGGTGTATAATTACATTTTTAGAAGATATGAAGCTTTTAGTGTTTTTTTTTTTTTTTTACATGACTTTAATCCCTCGCCATAGCAAAACAATTAGAGATATTCAATAGATATTCACAATTATGCTTCTTTAATGTATTTTCATCATGTTGAAAAAGTTTGGTGGGAATAAAATAAACCACTTAAGAGGAGTGATGCATATTTTGTCATTTAAAAAAAAATACAAAAATTGTTATGCGAAAAGACAAGGACTTAGAGATTTCTTTATCCTTTAATGCAGGAAAAATCATACAGCCAGCCACACACACACACACACACACATAAACACAGACACCAACCCTCCCTCCCTCCCCTCCCCTCTGCTCCCCTCCCCACACAGACACACACACAAACAGAATGGCAGGGGGACAAGAAATCCATTCAAACTACAATATCTGACTTTCTGTTGCTCTGAGCTAATGACTTTAAATTAGAAAGTCGATTGGCTTGATGAGAACAATATGCGTGGCAAGTTTTGTAACTGTAGGTAAAACGAGCAAAGTTATAACACAGTTTATGTGTCCTTTTTTAGTCATAAAATTAATTTCCTCGCCACGGCCAAACCGTTCGAGATATCAAAAATCCCTCCGGAATTTAGCATCATCAATGTCTTGACGTCATGCTGACCGAGTTTGCTTGAAATCCGATCAATTCCCAAGGAGAATTAAATAGAATTTCAGGGGTATGCGTTTCCAAACAAACCATGATAGCCGGCTTCCTGTTGGGATGTCGTAAAACTTAGAGCACGAAAGTTGTTTAACCCAATGAGATCTATAAGTGTACACAGTTTCATATTATTACATGCAAGTGTCTTTGATTTATGGACAAGTGTTCGAATCCCAGTCCAGGGGGCGCTGTCGGTCCGCCCTGCCACGCCCGGGTACCAGCTTCAGTCCGGCCCTGATGGCCACGGGTTCTGACCCGTGTGCAAAGTTTCAAGAGTTTTAGAGGATGTTAAGGGCCCCAAAAGCCCCCGAAACCTTGATCAACAATAATTAAAAGCTTTGTCACTCAAACAGACACATCCCCCTCCCCCCACAGACACAGAGGTATGCAGAGAGAGGGAGAGAGGGACAGAGATTACTCCAAAACATCCCATTCAAACCAAAATATCTGACTTCCTGTTGTTCGGAACCAAAAACTGTAAATTAGAAAGTTGTCCGGCTTGATCTGAACAATATGCCTACCGAGTTTTAAGATTGCAGGTAAAACTATGAAACTAACCCTCTCACTTTTGTCAAAAGGTGGCGCTACTGAGTCCCTGCACCACGCCCGTTCCTGAAACTTTGCACATGTCTACTGGCTAATATATGTGACATGTCTGTCGAGTTTCATGCAATTTCAAGCATGCTAAGAGTCTCAAAAGCATCAAAAAAGAATTTTAAAGTTTGATGTGTTGCCACGGCAACAGTATCAAAGATATCAAGAATCCATTCACAGGTCTACATCTGGCGTATGTTTACATTATACAGATGAAGTTTGAAGCAAATTGGGTTAAAATAAGAGGGTGATTTCGAAGCATTTTGAAAGTGACACACTTCCTGCTGCCAGTTGGTGGCGCTATAACTTTGACTCACAATAGTCACATCCATGTGATCGGCCTCTTACAGCGAACACACTGGTGAAGTTTCATCAAGATCAGTTAATGTATGCAGAAGTTATAACACACTTCCTGTTTCACGTTTCTCGCCATAATTTCGTTTCCCCGCCACGGCCAAACCGTTCGAGATATCAAAAATCCCCTCGCAATTTTTCATCCTCAATGTCTTGACTTCATGCTGACCGAGTTTCGAGGCATTTCTTTGAATTCTCTAGGAGAAGTACTTTAAATTCCATTGCATGCGTTTTACAAACAACCCTAAATAGCCGACTTCCTGTTGGGCTGGGGTAAAAAGTAAGAGCATGAAGTATATATGAACCGATGAGATCTATATGTGTACCGAGTTTCATATTCTTACATACAAGCGTGTTTGATTTATGGACCAAGTTTTCGGACCCCGTTCCAGGGGGCGCTGTCGAGCCCCCCTGCCACGCCCGGGTACCATCTTCACCCCGACCCTGATGGCCGCGGGTTCTGACCCGCGTGCAAAGTTTCAAGAGTTTTCGTGCACGTTAAGAGCCCCAAAAGTGCCCGAATAGTCGTAAGAAAAATAAAAGAGAAAAAAAAAAAAAAAAAAAATAATCCTAAGGAAAACAATAGGGCCTTCGCCTTTTCAAGGCTTGGGCCCTAATAATAATAATCCTAAGGAAAACAATAGGGCCTTCGCCTTTTCAAGGCTTGGGCCCTAATAAATAATCCTAAGGAAAACAATAGGGCCTTCGCCCTTTGGGCTTGGGCCCTAATAATAATAATAATAATAATAATAATAATCCTAAGGAAAACAATAGGGCCTTCGCCTTTTCAAGGCTTGGGCCCTAATAATGTTTGAGAGGTAACATGCATTATTCTTACCAATACAGATAAAAAACATTTAATATACAATTTCATTATGAATATTATGCACCTTTTAAACAGTGTTTTAACGGGATCAACAAACACAGCTTCTGTCATGTGACACCATATTTATTTGCTTTAAAACCCTTTTTCTCGACAAAAAGTGTTTCCAATCTAGTTTTTAGCAACATTTGATGTTAAATGAAAAAAGATTGTGTCGACATTTGCAAAACATTATCGATAGTTGTTATTTCCATGTCGGTAAACATTTTGATGCATTAAACCTTTTTCCGTTAACAATCCTTACTGGAAACCTAAATCAAATATTCGATGTAAATCCACTTTTTGACAATTTAGTTGACTCACTGAAACCTAAACCAAATAATAATGAAAATCTACTGTGTGGTAACAAATCACTTTTTTTCAAGGAATGGGTGGATCAAAATATTCTTTTTGTTTCTGATTTATTCAGTGCTCAAGGAGACCTTCTTTCTTTTTCTGATTGTATGTCTCTGTGCAATTTCAGTAAGAGATTTTAATAAGGTGACTAAAAGTATTCCTGTCAGTTTAAGAACCTCGATTAAAGGGCATGTAAGATACGACTGTTTAAACACTTATATTCCTTCACTTGCAATCAGTGGTGTTAATGTATTAGATAAAAACTGCAACTTCTTTATTAGAAATGCTCATTTCTTCAACCCTAATAACCCTCCCTAAAGCACGATCTAAATGGAGTATCTGTTATCCAAACTCTGATTTGAATAACTTAAGGACTTTACCCTCACAATCTTTTTAACCCTAATAAAATTACATAACTCCATTTCAAAATCGTTCGTAGATATTACCCTTGTAATTTATTTTTGAGCAGGTTTTCTGAGAATGTATCTTCTTTATGTTCCTTTTGCAATATTGAAGAAGAATCGATTCTACATGTGTGTGATCAGTGCCCATTCTCTGAATCTTTCTGGTCAGAAGTTACCTGGATAGTTTTCTGCTGTTGTTACATATGACAGATTCTATTATTTTTTTGTCAGATTTTCATTGTGAGGATGTTAATTTTGATTATACTGTATTACTTTGTCTTCTGGCTAAGTTTCATCTTCACAAAGCCAGAACCATTCGATGTAATCCTGATTTTAGGATATTCTCCTCTGATATAAAGTCCCTTTTTACTTCTCTTAAGAAAATATCAAAACTTCTGAACTCAACTGTTTCTAAAACATATAATATCCTTGCGTCTGTTTTAAGGAACCTTTAATTTTTCACATTGACAAAATGTAATATTGTATTGATTTGTGTAGCCTAATTTATTCTCTTATGATGTCTCCCAATCTGTTTGTCTTCTCACTGTTATTATCTGTAACCTTTCATTTGCAATAATAAAAAAAAATCCAACTTCCGCATCTTGACGTTCATGTAGTTTTCCGGTCAAAGCTGCGCTCCAAGTGCGCAGAGCGATTGGAAACAAAAGCATTTCCTCTTTGTTACACTGCGCAGAGCCACGCAGCTTATGCACAACATCAGGAAAGAGGATCAGTGCAGTGAAGACGTGTCGAGAGATCCCGATCCTCATGATTTCACCTGAACTTCAGCCACTGCTTCCATGAGGGAATGTGAAAGAGATCCGAGGATGAAGCGTGTTTCGATGCGGATTAAATGTCTCGGATGAACACATTGGGTAGAGTATCATGTTTCTGTGTTAACAGTATCACTTCGTCCTGTTGTTTGTTCGTGCAGATATCTTGCATGAAGCGGAATGGAGTCTTAAATGATCTTTATTTGTAATGTACTGTTTTGAGGAAATAATAGTAAACATTTAGGCTTTAAGGTCATTTAAATAACCATAGGGACAAATTAAACAAATATAGGTTAGACAAACATACAAGACATTGTACATATACCAGCACGAAGCACATGTATAGGCTAACATTCATAAATACTCAAAAAGTATTTGAAGACTCACTTAAAGACACACGTAAGAAAGTAACTTAGGAAGGTCCTTTATATTTATTGTCTTTAACTATTATGTGCTACGATTTAAATGAGTCATTTGATACAATGCGGTTATTGTGCATACATGTTTTTACTTGTATTTAAAAATACCTGACATGACATTTCAGATACAAACCGGTCTTTAACCCCTTAGCTGTCACCCCCCTTTTTGAGAATGGGGGTTAAAATGCACTATTCAAACTTAAATGGTTGTAATTCAAGAATGCTTTGGAATATATACCCAAGTTTGGTCTTGTTTTAAAGAAAACACTCAGCAGATTATTGCTGAAGTGAGAACACTTCAAAAAATTTAAGTATGAAAAAGTTATGGAAGTTTAAATTTACAGTAAATCAAATATACTGTACTATATATTTTTTATTTTATATAATATATATTTTACAAAATATTTTTTAGTCTAAAATTACTGTAAAATCAAAGCCATAAATCTAACCAAGTTATGTTCCAAATTTGAAGTTGATATCACAAAAATTGAAGTTCCCATGAGATTTTGTTTAGGCGTAGTACCAAAAATAGCCACCGGGTGCCATTGAATTCCATTAAATTTAGTTGTATACATTCTGCCTTAACAAATTAATACATTTCTGTCCAAATATCAATTCTGTCACAAAATTTGGAACCTTGAGACACAGACCTTTCTGACAATATGTGTTTTGTCAAGATTAGAAAAGGTTTTGATCATAAATTATGAAATATAATGATGCCTAAAAGGGGAGGAGCCTGATAAAATAATTTAGAGTACCGTTTCTATGGTAACGCAACGTTCAATTATAAAACGGTTTTCACAGGATGAATTCTGAGTTTATAAGCTTTCAAATGATACCTAATTTATGATAACTGTGATATAATAAAAAAGGCGATAAAAAAATAATATTATATTTTAGAGGATAATATATATATATTATAATTTTTAGAGGATAATATTATATTATAATTTTTTATTGAAAAATACTAGATTATATGTTTTATAATGAACTTTTAGCATAAAAACAGAAGTTTCAATCATTAAAAGTGGGTGCATCGACTTTTTGTGACAAAGATCAGACCTCCTATTATGATGCAGATTTTTTGAGGTGCACTCTTGTCATAAATTCATCAATTACTCTTCCTACATAATTTGTAACACAAAACAGGGGTAGAATATCTATTTAGAAGTCTTTGACCTTTCCAACGATATATAATTTGTCATAATTAGATTAGGATTTAATAGAAATATAGTGAAGTAAAGTTAGGCGTCCCGGTAGCGGGACGGTGACAGTTAAGGGGTTAAGAAGAACACAGGCTAATTCATGCTATTTGTCACTTATTAATTTGTATGGGTACGTAATGCTTTTGTGTTCATGCACACCCATCTGCTTTACATTTGGACTAGATCCGTTTAATTAAGGTGTGGCATGAAGGGAAAGTTTTACGCTAATCTTTTCTTCTCTATTGTGTTGTAAATCTGAGTAAACGCTTACCGAACAAGAACAAATGTGGGCGGGGCTTGACTGTGTCTGTTGGGAATTAATTTGATTGTGGTTTGCTATTGGCTGATCTCATGTGAGTGACAGGTTATAGCCCCGCCCTCTTCATCAGAGAAGAGACGAGATGATGCAAGAGGAACTTATTCTGATTCAAGATCATTAAAACAATAATGATGTGCACCGATAAATATATCGTGATATTCCATAAACAAAATTAAGATGACTTTAGCAATCTATTATATCATGACGATCTGAGCGTATTTCCCTGTGTGTGCAGATGTCCTTCTCATGTGTTGGCATTGCTTCATTACTCCTGGAGTTTGCCCCCGTCGTCCCGCAGCATGGCCGGCAGCGAGCGCTCAGGGAAGTCCTCGTTCTGGCCCTCGCTCGGCAGCTTCCGGCCGCGGCAGGAGCGGGTGATGCTGTCCCGCAGCGAGAGCACGCCGGGAGAGCCGGTCCTGAAGATCACCATCACCGAGACCACGGTGATCGAGGACGACGCCGGCGTGTGGAACTCCAGGGCTCTCACGTACCTGGCGCTCTGGTACTTCTTCAGCTTCTGCACGCTCTTCCTCAACAAGTACATACTCTCGCTGCTGGAGGGAGAGCCGAGCATGCTGGGTAGGTTTCCCAGATGTGTGATGTGTCCTTCCCGCTCTGATTTAGCCAAACAAAGATAAGTGCAATTAAACCTCTGTCTTGGCAAATAAAGCTTGAAAGTGAACTTGGCCTCTATTCAGGCGATGGGGGAAGAACACGATCAGATCGAACTTCACCACAAATTAAAAAAAAAGATATTTCCAGGGGTTCCCACGTGAAACACGATTAAACTCCCACTGTAGTCGATCATTTTATCCCTTAAAACTCACCTTTGATCTCCAAAAATTACATATTTAAGTTTTTTTCCTTCATGCCTTAAAATATCTTGAATGTAACTCGACACCCTCGCCTCATTTAGTATGCGCGGTTCTATGAATATGCAAATGAGCCCCGCCTCCACTCACTCAATCAGCTCAGAGATCCACTGGTTGACGATCACACGTTGATCTGATTGGTTACAAGGTCGTTTGTGACGTCAGAAACACCAGCGATTTCAAACCGTGTTTTTGAGACTGTCTTTGGTTCACTGCAGTTTTAAGCAGAAAATACTCAGCAATGCTGTCGACTTATGAACTTACACATGGTGTGTCTAAAAGCGTATTAATAACACCACATAGACACATAAACAACATTAAACGCTGGATTTACACCACAGGGGGACTTTTAATTTCAAGGCCTGTAAAAGTTTATCGGTTTGCACTGCGACATTATTCAAGCGCATTTTATCCTCATACTCTCGGGACAGAAAAAATCATATCTTTGTATTTCGGCTGAATATATATCTGTATTTTCTACTTTTTCCTATTTTGATCAAATAAATACAGGAAAAAAGGGCTTTTTTATGTTATTTCACATCCTGCCCAATGTGATCCTACAAACAATGAAGGCTATGAAACAAATAAAGTGAATGTAACCATGTAGGCTGTGCTATATACGTATATTATGGGCAAAAAAGGGTTAAAATCACATTACATTCTAACATTGTAACAACATATATTTTAAATTCTACATATGGCATATTTAATGTCCAACAACAAATATTTGAGCAAAATCAGAAATGAAATGACTTTAAACCTCTCAAGCGCAAGAAGGCTCACACGCTGTTTTCACACACATCCAATACGCCGTGCGCTCAGAAATTCGTCTTATACACTGTATAGTGTGAGATACAGATGTTTTTGCACTTGAATAGACAAAACATATAAAAATATGTCAAAATATCCTCGTAAACGCAGTCGGTTATGTCTTGAGTGAGTGTGAAGAGTTGATCAAGAACAGCACGTGTATCAGTGTATCAGTGTATTGGATCGGTGCGGCTCTTAAAGTGACAGCGTCCTAATATTCCTGCGGCCGCATCTATAATAACACCAATCAAACAACAACAGACAGAGAAAATTCACTCGTTCTTGTACAACAGCTTTTGTAACTATGTATTTTATAAAGTGCAGTGTTTCTGAACCCGCATACCTGACAATCTTAAAACACTGTTTATTTCAATCATATCTTTGTTCGGTTGTATTTATTTTTGTGATTGCTGATTTTTTTATTTGATCTTTTTTAATTACTGAGTGTTAACTTGTCTTTAATAATGCTAGAAATGTATTTTAGTTAGTTATTTTGGTGTTTTTAAACCACAGGCAAACGTTCCTAGTGTAAGTGTTGATTTCTGTTCATGATATTCAGCTACAATTAAATGTTTTGCAATAATACGACTAGGCTTATGTATTAGGAGTTATCTTGAAGCCCTTAATATAAAGCACGTCTCATGTTTAGGACAAGCAAACGCTATTTTTTAGACTGTATATTGATATAAACTATATTGCCTATATCATCCTATATCATTTATTTATATACATCGCACAAACTCCATATACTGTCCAATAAAGTGGACTATCGAAATAAAACAAAATACTTAAGATGATTAGATGTGTTGCAATACTGAATATGACTTTTGGCTGTAATAAGAATTTGTATCACAATGCAAACATTAAATATCCTGAAAGCCGCCATTTTATTTTTGCAAAGTGTAGTTTAATATTTTCCCTGGATTCCCCGACCTGAAATGTTTTCATGAGATTAACTAGATTTACCTAAAACATAATGTGTTAGTCGTTACCTCAAGTTCCTGTGTGCATTGAATGTGTTTTGCCTGCACGTGTGTGTTAGGTGCCGTCCAGATGCTCTCCACCACTGTGATTGGCTGTGGTAAGATGCTGGTGCCGTGTCCGCTTTACCAGCACAAGTCCCGCGCCGAATACCCCTCCAACTTCATCATGATCATGCTGTTCGTGGGACTCATGAGGTGCGTTTGTGTGTGTGTGTTTGTGTGTACAACACACACAACTCTATTACAGGAGTAGTTCACTTCTGAATCTCCTCCACGTCATCCCAGATGTTCATGTGTTTCTCTCTTCAGTGGAAAAGAAATGAAGGTTTTTGAGGAACACACTCCAGGTGTTTCTCCATATAGTGTCTTCAATGGGGTCCAACGGGTCGAAGGTCCAGATGTGAGGTTCCCGTTGAAAGGTCACGCGTGTCAACTTCGGGTCAGAGATGTAGAGTAGAGCGAAAACCTCCCTCTCATTTTCTCCTCCAACTTCAAAATCGACCGACATCGTTGTTTTACCTTTTATTTTTTTATTTGATGTAAATTAGGTTGATTTAGTCTTTGCACGTTCGCTTTATAAATATATATATTTGTCGGTTCTTCCGCCTACGTCCCGCTTGACCTTTCAACCTGATCACGTAATGTGTGTCGCATCACAGCTCGTGCAAGATGAGCATTAGTGGTTAAAAGTATATAAATGTGTATTTTGTTATAAATGTCGGCTGGTTTGTCTAGATGAGACTCTTATTCCTCGGCTGGATCGTGTCGAGACTCTGAAGCTGCACTGAAACTCACATCTGGACCTTCGACCCGTTGGACCCCATTGAAGACACTATATGGAGAAACACCTGGAGTGTGTTCCTCAAAAACCTTCATTTCTTTTCCACTGAAGAAAGAAACACATGAACATCTTGGATGGCGTGGAGGAGAGTAAACTATCAGGAGATTTTACTTCTGAAGTGAACTCCTCCTTTAATGCCGTTTAGTGTGGGATGTGAGGATTCTCTACACATGATATAGGTGATGTGATGTTGCGTATGTGTGTTTTTAACATGGACATGTTTGAGTGTAAAGTGGACGAGCGAGAAGAAAGTAGAACAAAAGCTAACTGTGCTTCAGATCTGCTGCCGCTTGATGGATTAAGGAAAAGCAAGCGGTGGAACTTGTTCTACGGGCGGCGGCTCATTCTCCTCCGTGTGTGTGTGTGTGTGTGTGTGTGTGTGTGTGTGTGTGTGTGTGTGTGTGTGTGTGTGTGTGTGTGTGTGTGTCAGGTTCACGACTGTAGTTCTGGGTTTGGTCAGTCTGAAGAACGTGGCCGTGTCGTTCGCGGAGACGGTGAAGAGTTCGGCCCCCATCTTCACCGTCATCATGTCCCGCCTCATACTGGGAGAATACACAGGTGAATACACACACAACGGCATCCACGACTTACTGTGCAAACACACACAACACTGCTGTGCCGCTTCTGCGGGATCGCTCGTAGAGTCTGAAGACAACAGGGCACTAACATCCCACAGACCTGCACTCCGGAGGGACCAGAGTGTGGAGCTTGTTTTCATTTTAAAAACTTTTTATCTCGCAATTCTGCTTTCTTTTCTCAGAATTGAGATAAACACAATTCAGATTTTTTTTTTCTCACGTAATTCAGATTTTTTTTTCTCTTGCAATTGTGATTTTCAGGGGCCAAGCACAGAATGTGCGGAGGCACCTATTGTATCTGTTCCCGTTCCTATTATTATTCTTCTTCATTCTTCCGACTGGGTGTCTATGGCAGCCCATAGAACCACTTGCGGGAAAGTTGTAACGGTTTGACATCCTGATAGAGGACAGTCCCAACATTAAATACACCGATTTTGGTGTCTCTAACTCATTCCCTCTAGCGCCACCAACTGTCCAAAGTTTCACTCATGTTTATGCTAATAACTTTGGAACCATAAAGGCTAAAAACAAAAACATTTCCACTGATTCCTTGGGTCAAGACGATTCGATTCCACCCTATGACGTCATGGTAATTTTTCCGCCATATTGAATTTTCCCAAAAACTACTTTTTCGAACTCCTCCTAGGCCGATTCTCCGATTTTCACGAAAATTGAATCAGATCATCTGCACCGGTTGCATATTGTGATTGTAAGAATGACAGCTAGTGGTCGAAACGGGTACTGCAGTCCAATTCAAAATATCTCCCGCCCCGCCTCCTCAGACTCGACGCTCACACGGGTCGCCAGTTTGAGACGCGCAACAGGAGCGAGCGCAATGCACGATGAAAACTGGCAACGTGCAGAAACACAGACCAACACAATAACAAACATTCCAGCCTGGAAACACACATTTCAGAGTAAAATCACTGGGTGTAGGAGTGTTTATCAGGGAAACGAGTGTGTGCACTCAGCATGTTTCCTCAATATATGCAAACATATTATGGGATGTTTATGCTGTAGTAGAGTGAAACAGTTACATACAGCACCTTTAATATATAGAGAGCGGAATAACACAGACTTGACTTCTTTTGACTTGAGCCAGTAATCAGTCGTCTAAAAGCGTGTGTGTGTGTGTGTCAGGTTTCTGGGTGAACGTGTCTCTGATTCCTGTGATGTTGGGTCTGGCGCTCTGCACTGCCACTGAGATCAGCTTCAACATGCTGGGATTCTCCGCCGCGCTCTCCACCAACATCATGGACTGGTGCTGCTCACACACACACACACACAGTCACGCTCACACTAACACTCACACACTCTTCCTTCATACACACTCATACTCACGCTCACACTCAAACACACGCACTCAGACACACGCTCACAAACACACTCAAGCTCACACTCAAACTCACACGCTCACACTCACACACTCGCTCACACTCACACTCACACACACTCACGCTCACACTCAAACACACACTCTCACACACGCTCACACACACACTCACGCTCACACTCAAACACACGCTCTCACACACACGCTCACAAACACACTCACGCTCACACTCAAACACACACTCTCACACACGCTCACACTCATACTCACGCTCACACTCAAACACACGCTCTCACACACACGCTCAAACACACTCACGCTCACACTCAAACACGCACTCTCACACACGCTCACAAACACACTCACGCTCACACTCAAACACGCACTCTCACACACGCTCACACACACACTCATACTCACTCTCACACTCAAACACACGCACTCACACACACGCTCACAAACACACTCAAGCTCACACTCAAACTCACACGCTCACACTCACACACACGCTCACACTCACACTCAAACACACGCACTCACACACACACACACACGCACTCACACACACACACGCTCACACTAACACTCACACTCAAACACGCGCACTCACACACACACACACGCTCACACTAACACGCACACACACGCTCACAGACACACACACACACACACACACACACACACTCTTCCTTCATACACACACGCCACACTTAATCTCACACACTCTTCTTTCTCACACACACAAACACACACTCACTCACTCAATCACTCACACACACGCTTACACACACGCTCACACACATACACACACACGCTCACTCAGACACACACACACACACACACACACAGCTCACACACTCTTCCTTCACACAGCTCACACACTCTTTCTTCACACACACTCACACACACACAGCTCACACACTCTTTCTTCACACACACACACACACACACACACACACCGCTCACACACTCTTCCTTCACACACACACGCCACAGTAAACCTCATCTAATGCACACTGTCCCTCTCTCAGCTTACAGAATGTGTTTTCCAAGAAGCTGCTGAGTGGGGACAAGTATAAGTTCAGGTGAGTGCTGTTGATTTGTGTGTGTGTTCAGTGTTGTACAGTAGGGGACGCTATCACGCTGTGTGTGTGTGTGTGTGTGTTTCTAGTCCTCCAGAGCTGCAGTTTTACACCAGTGCCGCCGCTATGGTCATGCTCGTTCCCGCCTGGATCTTCCTGATGGTCAGTCCCTGCAAACACACGTCCGAGACCCGCTTTCATTAAACGCTGACCGCATCACGAACACGCTAACCACACACATCCACCCGACATAACACAACTATCCCTTTCATAGCAGGGAAATGGCAATCTTGTCAAATGTAAAGAAAAATAATAAAACAAATAAGTAAATAATTAAATAGACTCAAATAAATTGATTAAGATAAATATATAACATTCTATTTAACTAAAAATACATAATGAATTTGAAATAAATTAAATAAATAAATACAATTTGATGTAAATGGAAAATACATAACCACATAAAAACATTTAAATAAAATAAATAAATGATTAAAAAAATGATTCAAATAAAACACAATAAATACATAACTAAAAACATTTAGTACAAAAAAAGATTAGTATACATAAAATAAATAAATTAACTAAATAAATAAATACAATTTTATTTAAATAAAAAGAAAAGCAGTGTAAAAATAAATAAGTAAAATTAAACTAGGGAACTAATTAAAGAAAAATTGATTAAAATTAAAATAAATAAAGGAAATTTGATTTAAATTATAACACATGATTGAAATAATTTAATTAAAGTAAATTAATAAACTCAGATCTAACAAAAAACACGCAATGATGTATTAATTCTAACATACATTTTTCATAGTAAATATATTACTATACATGAGAATCTGTAGTGTTAGTGAAGCATGTGAAGGCAGATATTATTGAAATCATTTGATTAAAGTGAATGCATGAATAAACTTACATCTAACAGAAGAGTCGGGGGAAAAAACACCCAATGATGTAATATTTGAAATATAATTTTTTCACAGTAATACTCGTGACTTTATGCATGCTGATGTGTGTGTGTCCCGCAGGATCTGCCGGCCATCGGGAAGAGCGAGCGCAGCTTCAGTCTCTCTCAGGACGTGGTTCTGCTTCTGCTGTTCGACGGCGTCCTCTTCCACTTGCAGAGCGTCACGGCCTACGCGCTCATGGGCCGCATCTCACCCGTAACATTCAGGTGCGCCTCCTTCACACGCTCTCACCCGTAACATTCAGGTGCGCCTCCTTCACACGCTCTCACCCGTAACATTCAGGTGCGCCTCCTTCACACACTCTCACCCGTAACATTCAGGTGTGCCTCCTTCACACACTCTCACCCGTAACATTCAGGTGCGCCTCCTTCACACACTCTCACCCGTAACATTCAGGTGCGCCTCCTTCACACACTCTCACCCGTAACATTCAGGTGTGCCTCCTTCACACGCTCTCACCCGTAACATTCAGGTGCGCCTCCTTCACACGCTCTCACCCGTAACATTCAGGTGCGCCTCCTTCACACACTCTCACCCGTAACATTCAGGTGTGCCTCCTTCACACGCTCTCACCCGTAACATTCAGGTGCGCCTCCTTCACACGCTCTCACCCGTAACATTCAGGTGTGCCTCCTTCACACGCTCTCACCCGTAACATTCAGGTGCGCCTCCTTCACACGCTCTCACCCGTAACATTCAGGTGCGCCTCCTTCACACTCTCACCCGTAACATTCAGGTGCGCCTTCTTCACACGCTCTCACCCGTAACATTCAGGTGCGCCTCCTTCACACGCTCTCACCCGTAACATTCAGGTGCGCCTCCTTCACACGCTCTCACCCGTAACATTCAGGTGCGCCTCCTTCACACGCTCTCGCTCGTAACATTCAGGTGCGCCTCCTTCACACACTCTCACCCGTAACATTCAGGTGCGCCTCCTTCACACGCTCTCACCCGTAACATTCAGGTGCGCCTCCTTCACACGCTCTCACCCGTAACATTCAGGTGCGCCTCCTTCACACGCTCTCACCCGTAACATTCAGTTGCGCCTCCTTCACACGCTCTCACCCGTAACATTCAGGTGCGCCTCCTTCACACGCTCTCGCTCGTAACATTCAGGTGCGCCTCCTTCACACGCTCTCACCCGTAACATTCAGGTGCGCCTCCTTCACACACTCTCACCCATAACATTCAGGTGCGCCTCCTTCACACGCTCTCACCCGTAACATTCAGGTGCGCCTCCTTCACACGCTCTCACCCGTAACATTCAGGTGCGCCTCCTTCACACGCTCTCACCCGTAACATTCAGGTGCGCCTCCTTCACACACTCACCAGTAACATTCAGGTGCGCCTCCTTCACACACTCACCAGTAACATTCAGGTGCGCCTTCTTCACACGCTCTCACCCGTAACATTCAGGTGCGCCTTCTTCACACGCTCTCACCCGTAACATTCAGGTGCGCCTCCTTCACACGCTCTCACCCGTAACATTCAGGTGCGCCTCCTTCACACACTCACCAGTAACATTCAGGTGCGCCTTCTTCACACGCTCTCACCCGTAACATTCAGGTGCGCCTTCTTCACACGCTCTCACCCGTAACATTCAGGTGCGCCTCCTTCACACACTCTCACCCGTAACATTCAGGTGCGCCTCCTTCACACACTCACCAGTAACATTCAGGTGCGCCTCCTTCACACGCTCTCACCCGTAACATTCAGGTGCGCCTCCTTCACACACTCACCAGTAACATTCAGGTGCGCCTCCTTCACACGCTCTCACCCGTAACATTCAGGTGCGCCTCCTTCACACACTCACCAGTAACATTCAGGTGCGCCTCCTTCACACGCTCTCGCTCGTAACATTCAGGTGTGCCTCCTTCACACGCTCTCACCCGTAACATTCAGGTGCGCCTCCTTCACACACTCTCACCCATAACATTCAGGTGCGCCTCCTTCACACGCTCTCACCCGTAACATTCAGGTGCGCCTCCTTCACACGCTCTCACCCGTAACATTCAGGTGCGCCTCCTTCACACGCTCTCACCCGTAACATTCAGGTGCGCTTCCTTCACACGCTCTCACCCGTAACATTCAGGTGCGCCTCCTTCACACACTCACCAGTAACATTCAGGTGCGCCTTCTTCACACGCTCTCACCCGTAACATTCAGGTGCGCCTCCTTCACACACTCACCAGTAACATTCAGGTGCGCCTCCTTCACACACTCACCAGTAACATTCAGGTGCGCCTTCTTCACACGCTCTCACCCGTAACATTCAGGTGCGCCTTCTTCACACGCTCTCACCCGTAACATTCAGGTGCGCCTCCTTCACACGCTCTCACCCGTAACATTCAGGTGCGCCTCCTTCACACGCTCTCACCCGTAACATTCAGGTGCGCCTCCTTCACACACTCACCAGTAACATTCAGGTGCGCCTTCTTCACACGCTCTCACCCGTAACATTCAGGTGCGCCTCCTTCACACACTCACCAGTAACATTCAGGTGCGCCTCCTTCACACACTCACCAGTAACATGCAGGTGCGCCTTCTTCACACGCTCTCACCCGTAACATTCAGGTGCGCCTTCTTCACACACTCTCACCCGTAACATTCAGGTGCGCCTCCTTCACACGCTCTCGCTCGTAACATTCAGGTGCGCCTCCTTCACACGCTCTCACCCGTAACATTCAGGTGCGCCTTCTTCACACGCTCTCACCCGTAACATTCAGGTGCGCCTCCTTCACACACTCTCACCCGTAACATTCAGGTGCGCCTCCTTCACACACTCACCAGTAACATTCAGGTGCGCCTCCTTCACACGCTCTCACCCGTAACATTCAGGTGCGCCTCCTTCACACACTCACCAGTAACATTCAGGTGCGCCTCCTTCACACGCTCTCACCCGTAACATTCAGGTGCGCCTCCTTCACACACTCTCACCCGTAACATTCAGGTGCGCCTCCTTCACACACTCTCACCCGTAACATTCAGGTGCGCCTCCTTCACACGCTCTCGCTCGTAACATTCAGGTGCGCCTCCTTAACACGCTCTCACCCGTAACATTCAGGTGCGCCTCCTTCACACACTCTCACCCGTAACATTCAGGTGCGCCTCCTTCACACGCTCTCACCCGTAACATTCAGGTGCGCCTCCTTCACACGCTCTCGCCCGTAACATTCAGGTGCGCCTCCTTCACACGCTCTCACCCGTAACATTCAGGTGCGCTTCCTTCACACGCTCTCACCCGTAACATTCAGGTGCGCCTCCTTCACACACTCTCACCCGTAACATTCAGGTGCGCCTCCTTCACACGCTCTCGCTCGTAACATTCAGGTGCGCCTCCTTCACACGCTCTCACCCGTAACATTCAGGTGCGCTTCCTTCACACGCTCTCACCCGTAACATTCAGGTGCGCCTCCTTCACACACTCTCACCCGTAACATTCAGGTGCGCCTCCTTCACACACTCACCAGTAACATTCAGGTGCGCCTTCTTCACACGCTCTCACCCGTAACATTCAGGTGCGCCTCCTTCACACACTCACCAGTAACATTCAGGTGCGCCTCCTTCACACACTCACCAGTAACATTCAGGTGCGCCTTCTTCACACGCTCTCACCCGTAACATTCAGGTGCGCCTTCTTCACACGCTCTCACCCGTAACATTCAGGTGCGCCTCCTTCACACGCTCTCACCCGTAACATTCAGGTGCGCCTCCTTCACACACTCACCAGTAACATTCAGGTGCGCCTTCTTCACACGCTCTCACCCGTAACATTCAGGTGCGCCTTCTTCACACGCTCTCACCCGTAACATTCAGGTGCGCCTCCTTCACACACTCTCACCCGTAACATTCAGGTGCGCCTCCTTCACACACTCACCAGTAACATTCAGGTGCGCCTCCTTCACACGCTCTCACCCGTAACATTCAGGTGCGCCTCCTTCACACACTCACCAGTAACATTCAGGTGCGCCTCCTTCACACGCTCTCACCCGTAACATTCAGGTGCGCCTCCTTCACACACTCACCAGTAACATTCAGGTGCGCCTTCTTCACACGCTCTCACCCGTAACATTCAGGTGCGCCTTCTTCACACACTCTCACCCGTAACATTCAGGTGTGCCTCCTTCACACGCTCTCACCCGTAACATTCAGGTGCGCCTCCTTCACACGCTCTCACCCGTAACATTCAGGTGCGCCTCCTTCACACTCTCTCACCCGTAACATTCAGGTGCGCCTCCTTCACACGCTCTCACCCGTAACATTCAGGTGCGCCTTCTTCACACGCTCTCACCCGTAACATTCAGGTGCGCCTCCTTCACACGCTCTCACCCGTAACATTCAGGTGCGCCTCCTTCACACACTCTCACCCGTAACATTCAGGTGCGCCTCCTTCACACGCTCTCACCCGTAACATTCAGGTGCGCCTCCTTCACACGCTCTCACCCGTAACATTCAGGTGCGCCTTCTTCACACGCTCTCACCCGTAACATTCAGGTGCGCCTCCTTCACACACTCTCACCCGTAACATTCAGGTGCGCCTCCTTCACACGCTCTCGCTCGTAACATTCAGGTGCGCCTCCTTCACACGCTCTCACCCGTAACATTCAGGTGCGCCTCCTTCACACACTCACCAGTAACATTCAGGTGCGCCTCCTTCACACACTCACCAGTAACATTCAGGTGCGCCTCCTTCACACACTCACCAGTAACATTCAGGTGCGCCTCCTTCACACGCTCCAGTCTTCAGTGTCACATGATCCTTCAGAAATCATTCTAATATGATGATTTGATGCTCAAAAAACATTCAATATTATTATCAATTTTGAAATGTGTGTGTGTGTGTGTGTGTAGTGTGGCGAGCACCGTGAAGCACGCGCTGTCCATCTGGCTGAGCATCATCGTGTTCAGTAACTCCATCACTGTGGTGTCTGCGGGCGGGACGGTGCTGGTGTTCGTGGGAGTCCTGCTGTATAACAAGGCCAAGCAGATGCAGAGAGACACGCTGGTCCATCACGCTCTCAGCCAATCAGCGGAGGCCGAGCTCAAGCACATGACTCACGACGGCGTCACGTCTGCCAAATGAACCTGCGTTTCTTTAAAGGGATAGTTCACCCAAAAATTAAATTCACCCCATGATTTACTCACCCTGAAGCCATCCTAGGTGTATATGACTTTCTTCTTTCAGACGAACACAATCAGAGTTATATTAAAAAATGTCTTGGCTCTTCCAAACTTTATAATGGAAGTGGATTGCCGTTTCTGTTTTGAAGTCCATAAAAGTGCATCTGTCCATGATAAAAGTGCATCTATCCATCATAAAAGTGCATCTATCCATGATAAAAGTGCATCTGTCCATGATAAAAGTGCATCTGTCCATCATAAAAGTGCATCTATCCATGATAAAAGTGCATCTATCCATCATAAAAGTGCATCTATCCATGATAAAAGTGCATCTGTCCATCATAAAAGTGCATCTATCCATCATAAAAGTGCATCTATCCATCATAAAAGTGCATCTGTCCATGATAAAAGTGCATCTATCCATGATAAAAGTGCATCTGTCCATCATAAAAGTGCATCTATCCATCATAAAAGTGCATCTATCCATCATAAAAGTGCAAAACATAAACGGCCATTATAAAGCTTGGAAGAGCTAGGGCATTTTTTAATATAACTCTGATTGTATTCGTCTGGATGAAGTATGTCATATACACTTAGGACGACTTCAGGGTGAGTAAATCATGGGGTAATTTTCATTTGTGGGTGAACTATCCCTTTAAACTCAATGAAAGCTGGCTGTGGGTCCAAAGCCAGGAAACAATAATCAAAGCTTCAGGTTTCACAGGGATCATGCCTCACTGTATATATCTGTGGTTTTGGGACCCAATAATTCTGCTTTTTGATGATTTATTGACAACCAAAAGACTTAAAGAAACGTTGCAATATCGTATGGTGTTTCTACATGCGAGTGAGTGACTCTCACCAGCAAATATCCAGTTAGTATTTTACCTTAAAATCAAACAATAAGGCACTATATTTTGCATTAAGACGATAAAGCCTGTTTTTAAGACCACTTTCTTTTATTCCTACTGGTTTATTGTCAAGAAAATAATGTCAAAAATCCCTGAAATTAGGCTTTGCGCAAAAATACATTTAGATTTAAGGTGAATATGACGGACGTTTCTCCAAGAGTATTTTGTAAAGGCACTATTTCTTATAAAGTTCATTTACTGGTCTCTCATTCCACAAAAGACAAGCAGGTTTTGTATATATTAAATGCAATGATTGTAGCGGACCACAATCTTCGTCTAGCCCGTGTTTGATCTCTTTAATTGCCTGTTTTCTTACAGGAAACTGACAGAATTGTTTTCCTTTTTGTCTCTTATTTCGTCTCTGGCCCGTCAGAGATTCACTTGTTTGAGCAGTTTTAAGATTGTGTCCATAATATCAAATGACTTGAAGTTTCCCTGTGTTTTTCTGCCTTACGGATGAGAGGGTTTATCCATGTGTTCTCTCTGTTTTATCTCTGTGAAGCAGAAGATTTGTCAAATACTTGATGAAATGGCAAGGGTATGTATGTCTAAACTGTGGTGGCTTGATATAAAATGATGTACTGTACGTTTTTGATAATGTACAATAACCACTAATGGGATTTGTCTGTATAATTTGGTCTTTATTTGTGCATTGATAACATTTTGATTCAAATGAATTTAGTATTTCTTTATTAAATGTATACAGTGCAACATTTGTGCATTTTTGTAGCTAAAAGACCAACTAAAACGAGCTAAACACCAGCTAAGTTTTAGCATTTTCCCCCCAGCAGGGATTCAAATAGTTGCCCTGTTTATAGTTAAAGACATACATGGTCGCTGAACTGTTCTTGGTAACAAAGTGGGCTAATTTGATATATTTTCCATTACAATATTATTATTGTTCTCGGGTTTATTTCACACAAGGCCTTACTTATTATGCTACATTTTTATCTATTTTAACTGTAGGCCAATAACATTTTGATCGACTACATCTTATGATGATCATACATTAATTATGTCGTATTATTTTATATAATTTGAGAAACAAGAAGTACAAACGAGTAACTAAAGTAAAATCGTTAAAAAAATAATAATAAAGATCAACATATGAAATGTCTGACTCAAGGCGCGAACTGCGTGGTCACGTGGTACATGACGTTTCTCAGCGCTGGTGACGAACGACCAATCACATTCTTCTGTGATTACGGGGGAATGTGAAATATGCAAAATATAAAGTAAATTATTAGATAACACACGTAAAAAAAACTGTTTCAATGACATGTTAAGCTGATTTTGTAATAAGAAGAACAACAAAAACAATAATAAAATCATGAAATAAAGTAAATCGTGTTTAAGCTTGTGTTTTTATTGCATTCGTCATACAACAAATGGTCAATGTCAAGGAGAATTGCTTTAAGAATAATGTTTATTTACATATTGTGCAATCCACTAAAGCGCCGGCAGGTGGCGGTGTGACGTCATCGAGATTTGCGCACCGCATCGACCTGGAAGTAATTGGCCGGAAGTAGGAGGAAGTGAATCGTTTTTCCGGTGTTGTGAAAACGCGCCGAATAAATCACAGGTGGGTAAAGAAATATTGAAAATCTTCTACAGTGTTAATATCAGTTTATAAGCGCGCTACTGTTTTAAAGTATAAGTGCGCGTGCTGTTTCTTTTGTTGTGAGAGTGCACGAGAGCTCTCGGACGCGCGCGTGAAGTTCATGTGAATCTGACGCTCGTGATCTGCTTAAACACTCAAATAATTTTGTATTCCGTGATTTGTATTAATTCTGCGGGAACATCCTTTACAGACAGTGCGGTGGAGAATCGCCGAATCATTTCAATATTCATATTGTTTTATCGCCACATGGTACGTTTCCAAAACATAGTTTTACACATTCGGGTCTTTTTTTTAACTTCTTAACATGAAAACCCTCCCAGAACTGTTTTCTGATACTCAATGACAGAAAATAAAGCGAAATAATAAGACCGAGTGAGCTCACGTGACGCGGTTTAGCCATTTTATAAGATTGTGGCATCAACTTTATCAAGCTTTACTGTGTGTGTGTGTGTGAGAGAGAGAGAGAACGAGAGAGTGTGTTTGTGAGAGAGAGAGAGAACGAGAGAGTGTGTGTGTGTGTGAGAGAAAGAGAACGAGTGTATGTGTTTGTATGTGTCAGTGTGTTTGTATGTGTGTGAGTGTTTGTATGTGAGTGTGTGTGTGTGAGAGAGAGAACGTGTGTGTGTGTTTGTATGTGTGAGTGTGTGTGAGAGAGAGAGAACGAGTGTGTGTGTGTTTGTATGTGTGAGTATTTGTACATGAGTGTGTATGAGCGAGCTAGTGTATGTGTGAGCGAGCGAGAGAGTGTTTGTTTGTCTGAGTGTGTGTGTGAGCATGAGTAAGCTAGTGTGTGTGAGCGAGTGTTTGTGTTTCTGTGTGTGCACCTGTGAATCCACCTTCTCTCCTCTGGTGTTGCAGTGGAGGTGATTTGGAGCTGATGGGGGACGAAAAGGAAACCTGGAAAGTTAAAACGTTAGACGAGATTCTACAAGAGAAGAAGCGCAGACGAGAGCTGGAAGAGAAGAGCGACCCTAAACGAGTAAAGAACGTAAGAGAGTCAGTTCATCATCATACGCTTCGATCCGACTCATGAGTACTGATCATAATCTGGGGGTTTTCAAACCGGCTCAGGGTAGACGATTAGAGGAGGGGTCGGGGGTCAGAGGCAGGGCTCCAGACTAACTTTTCCACTGGTTGCACTGGTGCTACCAACTTTCTCAGTTGGTCGCACCAGCATATGATTTGGTCGCACCTTTTTTTTGCTACATGCCATGGGATTAATCAATGCATGCTGATGAATAGTGGTTTTAATGGACCAAGGCTAGCAAAGGCTTTCTGGGTTGCAGCATAAATACCTGTAATATATTACATAAAAACACATGTAATATATGATAATTATCATTTTCATGGATTTTGGACAGTAATTTTAATCTGTAATTTTAAGCATTTAACATTTGAATTATCACTAAAAAATGCTGGGTTGTTTCAACTAGGGGTGGGAAAAAAAATCGATATTGCAATATATTGTTGTGCTCTCTGTCGCAATAAATAATCGATACACTAACGCCCAATATCGATATTTTATTACAACACAAAATGATTAATTTACCCGTTGTCAGTGTCACTGTCACTACCCAATATCTACCATTCTGTTTGCGGGGGGCGCTGTTCGAGTAAATAGGGGTAAAGTGGCGCAAACAGCGGCCGGTGAAGAACACAAGGTAACTAACAACAACAGAGAGAAGCGAGAAGAATGGCGGAAAACAATATAAAACGAATCAAAGACCCACCCGCTAGTTTCCACTCTAAAGTGTGGAGACACTTCGGGTTTTACGAGCAGAGAGAGCGCAACGGCCGCGCGCGCACACTCTCACGTCTTCAAACAACACGAGCGCTGTCTTGCTCTCTCTCCCTCACGCATATTAATCAAAATCAATTGACACGATAGTAAAAGGTCGGAAGACCGCAGTTTCACGTGGAGCGTTTGGAGATTTTTAGAGATTAGAGACTCGCCTAAACTCAATGAACAACATCTCAACACTAAATTATAAAGGCCTGTCTCATATAGACGCCTGTCTCGAATACAAGCCGGTGCAGTTCGACGATTTGGGAAAATAAAAACCCAGGGAAGTTTTACGGTATATTAATTCTCAATATGTACACATGCATTGTTAATCTTTCTTTTCAGTCATATATATCGTGATATATCGTTGATGAAATTTATTCCAATATATTGAATATCGTAGATATCGCGAATCGTGATATTATCATATCGTGGACCACATATCGCCACAGAATTGAATCGTGAGGTACCTGTATCGTCCCACCCCTAGTTTCAACCCAAATTTGGGTTAAATGCTGGGTTAAAAATGTAATACAACATTTTTACAGTTGAAAGTGAAAGTTGGGTTAAAATTAAATTTTTAACCCAACATTTGGGTTTGTCCATATTTGACCCAAATTTGAGTTTAAACAACCCAGCATTGTTTAGAGTGTATACAATCTATCTATTTACATTTGA